AAGAATTAAGTTTCAATATGTAAAAAAAAAATAATTTCATTTTTTTTTTCTAGATGTTATTTTGTCTACTAGATGATAAAGTATTTACTTTATATTGCCGACTTTTAAAATTTAAATTTAAATAAGAAAGAACTAACTTATTACTTATAACTAATTGCTCTTCAAAGAAATCAATGTCAAAAAACCACTTTGAAAGTAAAATTTTCTAATCTTGCAGAAACCTGTGTTGGATTTTCTAATGGCAAGTCTATTTCAGTAAAACACTATTCATGTTTACCACGAATAGCATGTTTTACAGAATTATGAAACTTCTTTATTTATTGGATGGGCTGTACTATGGATTATCTACACTTTATGTATGTATATTTTTTTAGTGTCTTACTCATATTTTATACAAGTTAGCAATCACAAAATGGTGAACAAGAGGAGATGTAAAGAAAGATTTTGTTAAAAATCATGAATGAGACTCATTGTTGAAAATTTATAATTCCACATTTTGGATCAGGAACTTCAAATGACAGTAGCATGCTTAAAAAGTCTTTTCAAATAAAGATACATTATAGGAACAAAATAAAACTAATTGTGAAGTAGCACATAATCTGACTTTGCATATCAATTGAATTTGATCTTATTATTAGCAACATTTTTTTTTTTTACTTATACTGGTAACTGTAAAGCTTTAAACAATGCTTGGATCATTGGGAATTACACATTTCTTCATAAAATCTAAACTTATGGAGTGGAAATAATAGTAAGATTATTTTAGTAAGTTTATTTTGTTAAGTTAATTTTTGTAAGTTTATTTTAATAAGTTTATTTTGGTAAGTTTATTTTAGTAAGTTTATTTTGTTAAGTTAATTTTAGTAAGTTTATTTTAGTAAGTTTATTTTAGTAAGTTTATTTTGTTAAGTTAATTTTAGTAAGTTTATTTTAATAAGTTTATTTTAGTAAGTTTATTTTAGTAAGTTTATTTTGTTAAGTTAATTTTTGTAAGTTTATTTTAGTAAGTTAATTTTTGTAAGTTTATTTTAATAAGTTTATTTTAGTAATTTTATTTTAGTAAGTTTATTTTGTTAAGTTAATTTTAGTAAGTTTATTTTAGTAAGTTTATTTTAGTAAGTTTATTTTGTTAAGTTAATTTTAGTAAGTTTATTTTAATAAGTTTATTTTAGTAAGTTTATTTTAGTAAGTTTCTTTTAGTAAGTTTATTTTAGTAAGTTTATTTTAGTAAATTTATTTTAGCTAACTTTAGTCTGCTTAATGAAGCAAAAAATCAAGAAAACAAAAAAACAAAAAAAAATTCAAAAAACATTGGAAAAACCATTTCAGTAAAAATTCCAGTATTATGATAAACAAAAATGCCATGAAAAGACTATGTAAATATGATCCAATTATTTTATCTTATAGAAAAAACTGTATCACCATAAAAAAAAAAAAACTTTCTACTGGTGTTGCTGAACTTTTTATAAGATTTTTTAAATTCTTAATTCTTTTTGTAATTTTTAGACTATTTTTTAGATTTTTAAGTAAAAAATATAAGCTTGATGTTCATTTTTTAAGGTTGGTATAATTAAACTATAACAATTCGAATAACAAAAACGACTAAAAAAAATTAAAAAAAAACAAACTATTTTATCCTAAACTTGTGTTATTTCTTAACAATTTTATGTAAATTTACCCCCCCATCCTCCCCACAGGCCAAAAAGGCCACTACAGTCGAGGAGGCTACTGGCTACTTTAATTGCGGTTACAACTCTATTCCAACTCTAAAACTTCAAAACACGAACTTTAAAAAACAAGGTTGCAGCACAGAAAAACTAGGTTGCAGCCAGTGTCCCACTGGCTGGGTTTAGATGTAGAAGAGTGTCAAAAAATTCTAATATAAATTAACTTCAACGCATTAATTTAAATAAGATTTTTTCGGCACTCTCCTACAAAAAAACCCAGGCAGTGGCAACGCTGGTTGCAGCACGTAGAAACAAGTTGAGGAACATTTTGGTGTGGATTAAACTCAGAACTTCCTGCTTATGAGGCAAGCGCTCTATCACTACACCACTATCACATAATAATACCACATACCATAGCTTGAGATGTTGTTTTACTTTTATGGCAATTTTCATTTTACATACATAAATCAACTTGCTTATTAAAGATTAATAAATATTCTTACAGATACAAAACTTTAAAATGTTTAACCAAAAAATTTGGGAAACCTGTAAATCATCATTAAGTCCAAACATAACCAGTGCTGTAGTAGATGAACTGGTGTCATTTAGCTTTAAAAAAAATCTTTCTAAGACCATACCACTTGGTAACTGAAGTGGAGTTGTTAAATTCTAAAAAAAAATCACAGAAAACAAAATGCTTTATTTGAATATCATTTGTAGAAAAGCCAACATTTTAATAAAATTGTAAAATTTGTATGTTAATATATTTTCACCTCAAAATCTGTTGATGAAATGTTTACAAGCATACATCGCTGACCAATTGAAACTTCACTCTAAAAACACTAAATCTGTGCAAACCAGAACATTAAGTTAAAAAATTTACACATTAAACACTTATTATTTACTTTGATATTAAAAATACTTGATATACTTACTTTGATATTAAAAAAAAAGAAGTTATATATGTGAGTATGGTCATCATATATAACTTTCATAAGGTCATGAAGGCCACTACAGTCGAGGAGGGTACTTTAAGTTATGGTTACAACCCTATCTCAACTCTATAACTCTATAACTCTAAAACACAAACCTTCAAAAATAAGGTCGCTGCTCGGAGAATCAAGTTGAGCGCAGTATTACCAGGGACATGGTGGAGATCGAACTTTGAACTTCTCACTTATGAGGTGAGCGCTCTACCACCACACTACTCAAGGGTTGAATTAAGCAATTGCGAAATGAAAAATCTGGAAAAATATTTGGTCTTCAAAATTTTAGTTAAAACAAAACCATGTTCTTTGTTTTCAAGGGGATAATCAACATAAATTTATTAGTGAAAAAGTTATAAAAAAGAAATAATAAACTTATGACTACAGTAAAGTAATAACACTCTAGTAACTAACTGTGAATAACACTCTAGTAACTAACTTGTAACTATTATAATTCATTCTTTGTTCAAACAACATAAGTAATCCCAAATTTTAATTGAAGTAAAAAAGCATCTAGAAAAATAAAGTGGATATTCAAATAATATTTAAAACTTATTAAGGAACTTAAACAACTCTATAAAATCATACTGTATAAAAAGTTTAGCATTATGAAAAACGTTACTAATGTTCCGTAAAAACATGCGTTAATTTTAAAATCAATTAATAAAAACTTTTTATTGGTTGATTTTAAAAGGCGCATTTTTCCAGACCGTTAGTAATAGTTTAGAAATGCTAAACTGTTTATAAAAGTACATATACAAACGGTTTTTGAAGTTTTAAAATTACTAAAATATACATTCTATTTTTCTTTAGATGCATTTCTCAATTAAAACTTGGGATTATTTATTCACATCACTTTTATTTATGATATCTTGATTAAGTGTTGTATAAACAAACAAATTATAAATGTAAGATATAAATTAAAAAAGTAATAACACTAATATAGTGTTTATATTTTTATAATAGTTAGTGATTATAGTGTTATTACTTTGGTAGTCGTAAGTTTATTGTTTTCTTTTTGTTTTATATAACTTTTTGGCTAAGTTAATTTGCCCATAAATATTTCAAGACTTCAAAGACCAGATTTTTTTACAGATATTGCGTTTTCCAATCACTTAATTTAACCCTTGCCACTACCGCATATATATATATATATATATATATATATATATATATATATATATATATATATATATATATATATATATATATATATATATATATATATATATATATATATATAAAACTTAATTTTTTTCATAAAAGTTACTTTAAATTTTGTAACTGAAATAATAATATAATAAAAAGCTAATTTTCATAAATTAGATTATTGTTTCAGTCACAAAACAAGGTTACAACATTTTTTTACTCATTTTTTATTTTTTTATACTACATTTTTTTGGTACATTTTAAAACCATTACATTAAGTACAGGGTTAAAACCCTTAAAAGTTTTTCATGTTTATTTTATAGGTGAAGAACAACTCGATAGTATTCTCTGTCCTCGAAAGGCATAAACGGAAATGCAGCTCTAATATCTTTTTTTTTAAGTCTGCAAGTTCCTTTGTACAATTTTGAATCTTTGGTTTTACATTCAAAATAGTGGAAGTTGATAGACTTGTTGCTGCATTCTTTCTGTTAGGTTTTTCATTGAACTTGACATTTGCACAGTTCATAGGTTCATTGCGATCATGGCTAGATTTGAAATGTATAATATGAGATGTTTGAGTAAATTTTAGAACAGCAACGTTAGAAAAAGGAACTGACTTGTAATTAAACAGCTTCGCTGTTACTGCATAATTCTTGAAGTCACGTGATTTCATTTGAATGATACAATAAGGATTTTTTCTGTTAGCTTGTTTCAACATCCTTATCAATCCAATTGGACTATAAAAATCAGTTTTCCTCATGAGCTTTTCGATTTTGCTATGAGCATAATCCACCTCTTGGACGCATGAATGACCTGGAACGGAATATTTCTTAGTGATTGAATTGATGTTAGGATTGTCTCTTAAAAAGTTTAACACAGCATTTGATAATATACTGTTCCGATTTTGAGAAACGCAGGAGTCAGACCAAGTAATTAAATCACTGAAGTCGTTTTCCTTTGCTACATCACTCAAAATTTTGCAAAAGGCACTGGCAAGATCATTGCCGCTTCTTCCCGACATTGGTTCAGTCCATAATGCACAATACACTTTTTTGGTTGTTGAAAAATAAGCTGTCAAATTATACACGCTAAGCTTTCTCAGATAAAAAAGGGAACTAATTTCTGCATGCAGAGTCAAAATAACATTTTGAAGGTCAAAAAGTAAAACAGGAATATTTTTATCCTTTTTCTCTTCAGAACGTATATCTCTCATTTCTTTTTTAAAAACTTGATGTCTTTCAAAGTCTTCTCTCAATTTTTCAGACATAGTATCAGTGTTTTTAGCAACTTTAAACTTCTCATAAAGGTCACATCTATCCTTTTTGGGAATGTGAAAACTAAGATTGAATTCGGTGGAGAAAATATGGTAGTACATAGATTTTTTTACTGGCTCAATATTTTTGTTTATACATTTCTCTTTGTAAAGATTATACATTTTTGAAACATTAAGGTGTGACTCAAGGTATTCTCTATTGGTACTGACACGACAATAATGTGACTCAACTGTTGGAAAAGTTTTTATGTGATCCCTAGCTGAGTTGGCATCACTATGCGGTGTACGTTTGCCTTTCATGATTTTACCTCGTAGATCTTGTGCAGGAGTATTTGTTTTAATATCTTTGGTGTTGTGAGCTGTGTAAACTGGCTTTTGTGAAATGGACAGTGTAGTTAAGTAGAATGTTTTGCAAACACGGACTTTTTCACCTTTTACATAAAAAAAATATCTATAGGCGTACTTCCTTTTTGAAAAAACTTTTTCAGCGTGGTCATCAGTTTCTTTATTTGCAGTATCACTATCATTGTTTTCCTCATGATTTCTTTTTGGTCTAGCAGTGGTTCTGCGATCAGTCGAAGTAACAAAGAAATGCCTCTTATCAGTAGCTGAATTTAAGGCATAAAATGATGGAAAAATATCGATTCGCTCATCTTCTGATATTTTCTTAGCACATTCAAACTTACAGTTTGCCAGACAGTTTTTTTTTGTTTGAATAATCTTATTTGGTACTTGTTTTCCTCTTCGACTTGTATAATTTTTACCAGCTTGATATGCCTTTTTTTTATTATTACATCACCAGGTTTCAGGTTTAGATATTCATTTTCGGAATTTTTTCTTAAACGTTTGTTGAACTTGATCCCTAGAAGAGTATTATTACTTAGTCGATAATAGTATCTCTAGTATATAATCATATACTAATTAAATCGTTCTTAAATGATTAAAATAGTTCACTTTGTATATAATAGTAGATTTTAATGACGAAATCACTTTTTAGATGAAATTTTTATTAAAAAAACAAATCATAAATAAAAAAAATATATATTTAAGATTTAGAGGGTGATCGAGGGGGAACACTACATATTTGGCTTACTTGTTTGTCACTAATTCAGCATCATTTGTAGGTTGTACATTCATGTCTATCTCAGAACTTTTTTCAGTTTGTGCTACATAAACATTATTGGCATTGTTTCCAGAAGCTTCTTCAAAAATATTTTGTTTAGAATCTTGTGCAGTTCTGGAACATTCTAGTGCAGTTCTGGAACATTCTAGTGCAAAATCTAGTAAAAATCTTTTTAAAAGTGCATTCTAGTAAAAATCTTTTTAAAAAATTTTTCGAAAGCTTATAAATTTAGCTATTTTAATATGTAAATGCATGGCCAAAGTCACACAAAAAAGTTATATTAGGTTACTAACCGTGTACTTAATTCATAGCAGTCTTTGCCGCTTTCACTAGTTGGAGCTACACATTCGTCACTATCATAACTGCTTTCTTTATCAAATACTACTCTTTCCATTTTCTGTTGATATTTTACTTAAAACGAAAATAATAACTTTTCAAATTGTTTTTTTTTTTACTTTCAAATCATTTTTAAAATCTTTTTTTAACTACGCAGCCTGGTTTTTATTATTGATACAAAAATGTTTTATTACAAGTTGTTTAATTTTTAATATTACTGTTATATTTGATTTAACAATTTAAAATAAGTTACTTTTGTAAAATCAACGTTCTAAAGTGCACATATATCGACTAACCGTTGTAGATAAGTGAAGAAAAGTGAACAAGTATTGACTTACTTTTTGGGGTAGACACTGCAAAATATAGTTAGATCGACTTACCGTAAGGAAATGGCGCGGCAAATCGTACTTGCATTGACTGTGAAAAGTTTGTAAATTTATTAATGCATAAACATCATTATTTTAAAAAAATATTTTAGCTCATAAATCCCCTTTTTTTTTGAATAATAATAGTTATTTCTATGCTAATCGAAACCAGAATTTTGTTTTTCAATGTTACAGGTGTCAATTTGAGTAAAGCTACAGAATGTTATAAAAAAGATTTTTTTTGTCAAATAATAGCTTTAATAATATTTTATTCTACATCGGTGTCAGAATTTTTTTATATGATTTTTTATAATAATAATTAGTTAATAAAAACCAGCAAGAGATTATGCAGTTATTGTTAGTTAGAACCTTGTCAAATTAAATATCATTTAACTAAAGTTGCAGATAGAACTTTGGCACATTAGCAGTTTGCTTGTTTTACGATATATTGCTGTAAATTTCAGTTTATTTTGTTCATCATGATTAAAATAGTCTAATAAAATGATAAAGTCGATTTTGGCAAAAATGTCAGTTAGAACCTTGTCAAACCAACGCGACGATTTGCTAAGCTATAAATTACTATATGCAAGTTAGTTTTCTG